ACCCACTGCGACTGGGATTTAGCAAGCTGCTCTGGAGACCTCCTCACCAGATGCAGCTGGTCCCCCTCCAGCCAGTGCCTCCAGCCTCGGTTCCTCTTCTCTCCTAGCTGCTCACACACCAGCTGATCCCCTTCCCAGGAAACAGTTGTCTGAAAAAAAAGGAGAAGAAGACATGGTCCCAAGACCAGTGGGCCCTGGCAATGCAGGTTTCCAGTGATGAAGCTGCTGGTTTCTCTCAGACACATTTTCAAATGCAGTCCCTGATCTGATATCTCTTTGGTGGCTCCTTGCGACTGATGCTCTCTGTGGGAGTTGAGTGACCCTCTGGCTTCCAAGTGCAACAAAGTACTGTCAAGTGGGGTGGTGTCATGTCTATTCAGAGCTTTGCACCAGAGGGTCCCGAACTACCAGGTTTCTGGCTGTTTGGTGCTCAGCCCCTTTGCTGTGAGTGATTTACTTGTAGAATCACTTATTCCTGGACCTACAGGGGAACACCAGCTCTGGGATGGGCTCTCAACTGGTTCGTGAATCAAATCTGAGCAAGTCATAGAATCATAGAATCATAGAATGTTCGGGGTTGGAAGGGACTTCGAAAGATCATCTAGTCCAACCCCCCTGCCAGAGCAGGATTCCCTAGGGCAGCCACACAGGAACACATCCAGGCAGGTTTTGAAAGTCTCCAGAGAAGGAGACTCCACAACCTCTCTGGGCAGCCTGTGCCAGTGCTCCATCACCCTCACAGTGAAAAAATTTCTTCTCATGTTGAGGTGGAAATTCCTAAGTTCTAACTTAAACCCATTATTTCTTGTTCTATTGCTGGGCACCACTAAGAAGAGATTGTCTCCTTCCCCTTGACACCCACCCCTCAGATATTTGTATACATTTATAAAGTCCCCTCTCAGCTGTCTCCTTTCAAGGCTAAACAGCCCCAGTTCTCTCAGCCTCTCTTCACAGGAGAGATGTTCAAGTCCCTTAATCATCCTCATAGCTCTCATTTGGACTCTCTCCAGTAGGTCCCTCTCTCTCTTGAATGGGGAAGCCCAAAACTCGACGCAGTATTCCAGATGTGGTCTCACCAGTGCAGACTAGGGGTGGGGAGGAAAACTTCCCTAGACCTACTGGACACACTTTTCTCAATGCCCTCCAGGATCGCATTGGCCCTCTTGGCCACGAGGGCACATTGCTGTCCCAAGGACAACTACTGTCCACTAGGACTCCAAGGTCCTTCTCCATGGGGCTGCCTTCCACCGGGATATCCCCTAATCTGAACTTCTAGTGCACTCCACTCTGCCGTCAAACTGCACTGTTTGGGCTTCTCACCTGGCACTTGCGTCCATCTACGGGTCCCAGGTCTTCCTCAAACTGGACTCCCAGGTCAAAATCCATCACATAGTCCCGCAAGGAGGTGATCGTGCGGATGACCATGTGATCTCCCGTGTGGATGATCTCTTTATCAGGCTTCAAGAGGCAAACCAGTTTTCGCAGGACCACATTGATATCTGGAGGATCAGAGGGAAGGGAGATGTGTGGATGACCTGGGCTCCTCTACCAGCAGCATCCCTGCAGAGCTCCTCCATTCTTTTAGATAGGGAGCCCCACACACGGTAACTCCTCCCAATACAGCACAAAAGTGATGGTCGCAGACAGAAGCACCAGAGGGTTCCCAAACCCCTTCCTCCCCTTCCCTACTTGCGACATTTTTGGAGACAGAAGGGAGAAAAAGGGAAGGAGCGGGATGTGGAGTTACCTAAAGCGCGCAGGTAATTGTCCATATTCTCCTGGGAGACGAAGCGGTAATAGCCGGTGAGGTTGGGCGGCATCACGGGGCAGAGCGACGGGGCCGACAGCGAGGAGGAGAGAGGGCAAGGA